TGAGAGTCTCGGAATGTATCCCCCAAAGATAAGGGGAGGACTCTGTAGTGGCAACAATTACTAGTAACACAGAAATGGAACAGGAGAGGTGATTCCTTCAATAACTAGCAAACATTTCACTTTTAAATCTAGTTATATTCTGAAAATCTTTTTAAGCACATTTATGGGCTAAAATTCCATCACAACATAAAAAGACAATCTAAATGTCTCCTTATACAGAGAACAATCAATTAATCAGTGAATAAATAATGTTCCATTTCTCTATCAATCTGCTACTTTTCACAATTACTAATTTCCTTCTTAAAAAAACCTCAAGCCTAAATTTAAACCTAAGCTGTTTTTTTTCCATTATATAAGAATGCTTATTGCTCTAATTCCATCATTTAGTTCACTATATATGTTAAAGATTTCTTTATTTACAGAATTGAAATATTTTTGTTGCCACATGGAAAAGAGGTTTGATTATTCCCCCCAAAAGTGATGATAATAATCTGGTTCATGTATGTTTGCATTTGTATTAGTCAAAAGAAAAGCTTACAGTACAATATTTAAGAATTGCTTAATAAAGCTGTTATTTAGAAATTTATGGATGTGTGAGAGGTATTGCTACTTAATTAGCATCCCCAAATTGGCCTAATGATAAGTTCGTGCCCCACATTTCTTTCATAGATCTAGTCATCATTACTATTTACGCTTGCACACAAATCATTACTCTCTATGGTGGAGTTACAGAGTTGTGCTGGACATTAAGAGATTGTCAGTTTGATGCAATATTGGAATAAAGTCGTTATCTGAATGTGAGAATTAACAATTTCCATTGTGTTAAATTCACAAAAATGGTAGCAAAATATGGTGACTGAAAAAGTTTTCTGGCAAAGTCCAGTACATCTGACCAGCATGTTATAAATATGTTGAAGTAAAGTACTTAATTTTCAGCCAGTATCCTTAGGAGGATAATAGATTTGGGGGCCACTTTCTATTTTGTACTATTTTGTATGTTAAATAGAAAACATTTGGCTCAGAAGTTCTTTTAATCACATTTTTACAACCACATTAAATATTTTGTCTCAGGTAATAACATGCATTTCTAGTTTCACTCTGCCCCTGTCTTCCTACACATCCATTTCGATTGAAATGATTTGAAGTAACTTTCGACTTTAGTGCTTGGAGATGAGGCCTTGGCAGTTCTAACTAGGGAGAAAAGCCATGTGAGAGCCTATGGGAAATAAGGCCTTGAAAACCCCCTACCTGTAAAGACCCACGTTATAGGGTGGAACCAGAACACTGGCTGAAACCTTCAAACCAAAGAGAGTTAGGTGTGAAGTCTAGAGAAATAAGAAACACTTTGGCTCTGTTCTTAGGAATAGCATTGGCCGACTTAACGCCTGTCTTTTGATCAGCTATCAGTAAAGCATACTATGCAAGTGAAAGGACTAAGTATTCAGGTTATAAGGAGAGTGCACATTTAAATATTCTTGTTTAAGGAAGGCATGGACTCTACAGCCCAGTGGCCTGTGCAAAGATTTTGCAGACAATGATAACCGATGATAACCGATGATAACCTGACTGCAGAGTTTTTTGTTAGAGCAGTAAAGATCTGCAAAATCAAGAATGCCGCTTCATTGTGTCAGGGGCAAGGATACTGAAGCACGCCCGAAAGATCGTTTATTGTTGCTATATTTTTGCAGAGGCCAGGACTGCTTTTGGGGGTCAAAGAAGACCACCAGCAAACCTCATCATCCTTGTCCCTCAAGATTTCCACTCTTCTGCCCAAGCCCGCAGCCTGAGGCAGGGAGGCCCCAGCGCCCGTAGGTGGCGCCTCACGTCCGTACTTCCGCTTCTCGCCCGCGACCTGGGCGCATCTCAGAAACCCGGTGCGTCTCCCCAGGTCTTTAGAGCTCAGAGCAGGCATTTTAATAAATAAGCGCGAGTGCCAATGCGCTCCACGAGCCTGGCGGTTCAGAGGAGCAGACACACAACACCAGGCGGAGGCGCCTCTTTAATCCCTGCCAAAACCTATTTCCCAAACTGGAGATTCCGGAACCTCAGCCTTTAAAGCATTAAAATCCCAAGCTTTTTCTCTCCATCCCAGTCCTCATTTTTTTTTTTCCCCCCAAGAAAACTGTTTTACCCCCTAATTATGAAAGTCGTCACGCTATTCAGGATTAAGACTTGGAGGGAATTTGGAAAAGAAAAGAAAGAATCGGAAAGAAGAGGCGCGACCGGTGCTTTTGAGGGTGCCTAATTTTAAAGAGAGGCGCCTGGGAGGATTTCGCTCTGGGTGTTTGGGTGAGAGTCGGACCTGGGCAGTGCAGGGTGCGGCGAGGGTGCGGGGAGTTGGTACTGAGCCCGGGAGGGGGCAGTGCACGGGGTCCTCAGGGCGCCCGCAGCTCTTGGCTGTGCCGTCCGGAGACTGGAGGAGCGGCCGGGACTGAGGGGCCCGGCAGAGCCGCGCTGCGGGCGCGCTGGGAGCGAGGGGCCCTCCGAGGCTGCGGGCCCTGGAGCGGTGCAGACCCGGTGCAGGACGCCGGGCAGACCCGGCGCGGTGTGGTGAGAGGAACGTACGGGTGCGAAGTGCGGGGCGTAGGCGGTGCAGGACGCGGAGTGGGGCGCCGCGCGGTGCAGGGCGCCGGGCGTGCGGGTCCGAGGCGCAGCGCGGTGCACGCGGGTGCGGGGCGCGGGGCGTACCCAGAGCGGGCGCCGGCCGGCGCGGGAAAGGGACAGGGCGGGGCGGCGCGGTTATTGGCCACGCGCGGGGAGAAGGGTCGCGCTCAGTGTCTCCTCCCGCCGGCTCCCGCTCATCTTCTCTAAGCAGAACAACTTCGTGGACAGCCGTGCTCGTTCATCATGGATGTTCCAGGTAACCAAGCCCCGACCCTGCCCTCCGCGATCCGCGCGCGTTAATTGCATTCATGCATGTATTTTAACGGGGACCATCGAGTCTGCGTTCTGGGCGGAGAGAGAGAGAGCGACAGAGAGAGAATATCGAAATCGTTTTGTACTGGGGCTGAGGAGAGCATACTCATGGAGAAACAACTTCTGTCTTCTTAGAAAGACTATTGGAGGAGTTGTTCGGAGCTGTGGGCGGTGAGGGGAGAGTCTTCTTTGCTTTTTGTTTCTCTACTGGGAATGTTGAAATGACCTGTCTAGTTTGCAGGGAGAGGAGAGGGCCTGGTAGAAGTGCAAACGGGCGCGTAAGTTAGCAGAAAGCTACAGGGCCGCCTCCCAGCCAGGACAGAGGGAGCTGGGAGTCTAGAAACAAAAGCTGCACCATCAGCCAAGCTCCGGGGTTCCCGTCGTTGGAATCCTCTGGTCCTGCGCCAGAGAGAGGGATCCGAGGGGCTTCTCCAAAGGGGCTCGCTGCTGGCTGCGGGGACGTTGGAAGTGGGTGTTTGATTTTAGGGTCTCTTTCTCTTCTTTTTATTTTTTATTTTTTATTTTTTCCTCTTAATCTTATTCACCCTAAGGAGCTTCCTGGGGATTTGTTCTTTGGGTGGGAAATGGATAAGATCTTCACTACGTGGACTGCTTAAAAAAAAAAAAAAAATCTCGAGCATGGAAAAATAGACAATGAAAGGGAAAGCAGAAAAAGGAAAAAGGTTTTTTGGTGTGGCTTTCAAGAAAATGCCGCTGAAATGAAGGCGATAAAGCATCAGTGGATCTTTTCTTTGCCAGCGTCTTGAGTCCTCCTCCGCCTTGGGCTGAACGGGCCTAGGAGTGGCGTTGACGGCGTCTCTCAGGGTCACCGACCCTGTTTTAGCGTTGACGCCCTGCACGATTGCGGGCCCCTCACCTGACCGCACCCCGGCGCGCGCCGCCCGGGAGCCTTCAGGGATGCCTGTCCAGTGCGCCCGGGCCTTTCTCCGGACTTGTGCCAATCGGGGAGGGGGGTGGCCGTACGCGGGACCCAGAGAGTGGCCTCCAGGGAGGGGGCCCGAGTGCTGCAGGCACCTGCTCCCCAGGCCCCTCCCCCCCCCCCCCGGCTTCGCCTCCCAGTCTAAGGGTTTGGGTTCTTTGCCCTGACAGGTCCGCTGGCGCCTTCCTTCTGAGGACGACCCTGGCCTTGACCATCAGAACAGGGGACCGAGGCCAGAGGAGGCAACCCCTGGCCCGGCGCGTTCCTGTGCGCCCTCCTGCGCTCCTCCTGCTCCTGCCGGCCTGCGCCCCCGCGCGCCGCCCCCCTAGCCCGGATGCCGGCGCCCGGCCGGGGCCC